CAAATCCGTTCAAAAACGGGTCAATTCTTTTGCGCAAAAGCAGTGAAGAAGGAACCTCGAGACGTGCCGATTCCTGCCGGTCACTCCGATTGTGGGGCACCCAATTGTCGAGTTTTTTCACCTTCCCAATGCGTTCCAGACCATCTGCAACAGTGGATTTGCAAACGCCTAGCTCTTCTGCTATCTCTCGAACTGTTTGGGATAGATCAGCCTCCGAAATCCCCTCAAAATCCTCGTCAGAATTGCTTTAGGTCGATCGCTATGAGGTTCACCTTCAAGGCTGAAATTTCCAGAACGACATTTGTTGAGCCATTGCGGCACAGTGCTTTCTCTAGCACTATTGGGCCTCCACACCTGGTTAATTTGTTGAGCTGTTTCGATTGCGGATTGCCCCAATTTATAGCCGAAGAAAAAAATCGTCCGAAGTGCTCTTTTCACATGCTTGAAAAAATCTTGAAAAAAGAGGGTTTATCAAGCAATGGTGAAACGGCAATTATACCATCAGATAGCGCAAGAAATTCTCTACAGGATGTGCTACTGAGAAGCAAGGCAGAATGAGTTTTTAATCAGCAGTGAATGTACAAAGATTAGGTGCACAAAACGCTAAGAACTTTCCGGACAACCTAATATTAGGTCGCGCAGACTCCGCTGGTCTGCGCTTCTGTCAGGCAGAAACCCTCGGGAGGGAAAGGACATCGACTGTCCTTCTCAGGTACAGCATCGGAATGGATGAAGTGACTCTGTCAGCACGACGCCTCCTCCTTTCCTTAGGTACAACTTTTTCTTAAACGTGCATACGTCCCACTGAATTCCAAACTTCCCCCATGCTTTCCCGTTGAGTGGGGAGGAAGGGGAGCGCCTCCAACTAAGGAGATAGAACCTTTGGAATGAGAACGGGAGAAATCGCCACCGGAGAAATTTCTCGTGGGGTCCCGGTACGGCTACTCTCCCACAGCGGCCAAACACACGACCCCTAGATGGGTTACGCACAACGATCATGCACCCTGACTGGCCTGGCTTATACGAACTACCTTAGCACCTTTTTGGATGCTTCTTCTTCTTCTATCCACTTTCTTTTTCTTTTATATTATTCACTTTATTTATCTACGAGTAATGTTCCCATCCTGCCTCCTATCTTACTTCTTGGAACCAACGTCCCATCGTTGCTGTAGCCCGCGCTATGAATTTGGTGACCCTCCCCTTCTAAGACCCCTGTGGTATCTTATCAGCTCTTATCAGTTCCTGCCACCTACCAATAGTGTTCCTGCCGACCCCTACATCACTTATCAGTTTGAGCGCTCTATCGCTGTTTTGAAGGAAGTTATGAATTTCCGGTCAAACACACATACACACACCAACAGACAAACTTAGCGGATTATATATAGTAGGATGTTACCTGCTTTTTTTATCGTAAGCAATCGAGCTTCCTTCGTTATTCGTTCGAACGCGGCTTCAGGCACCCTCATAGATCAGTCGAATGTGAAAATTGCTTTCCAAGGCTAAGGTAGCGATGAGAGAGGGGCCTACCAATAAAAAGCATTACGCGTCCTTCTGGCGCCCAAAACACTGCTCATGGGTTGTTTTCTTTTTTTCGGTCTTTGGTCTTCTGGCCTCCACCGATCTGCCCCAAAGAAATTTGACCGAAACCTGCTCAAGCCATGGGACCAAATAGCGCTCGAGCCAACTGAGCCTACGATCACGTAGGGTTAGTATTTCAAAAGACGAGTGCAGGAAGATTAAACATCATCACTGACCCTACTTGTCTGCTTGGACCACTTATGGGATCAAGGGTGGAACGTTGGTGATCAGGCCCACACAGAAGCAGCGTAAGTAGGGGGACTTCGAAAAAAAGTCTGGAAAACTAGTAGAAGAGATGGGAGAATTTGCGCAGGTGATAGGTAAGGTGGAGGTTGGGGAAAGGGATCGCACCAAAAAGGCAACTCTAAGGGGGGGGGGGTATTTTGCAGGACTTTCCCAACGGCAGGATGTGCCCTGAACCCTGAATGGGCCACTCAAGTACCTATGAGTTTTCATGGCAGTTGAAAGCTTGGCGTATGGCCTCACTGATCTATTGTTGTGCTGAAGTGTTCTATGCATTCAAACGTCTTTACGACTTCGGAACTTGTTCGAATGCACGGCGTATCCCAACTGCGAAAAAATTTTTCCAGGCGCGGTTGGCGTGGTTGGGTCATGTTGCTGGATCCCATCAATCATTGCGACTCCCTCGGAAGAATCAGAGAAGAGAATCCCTCCGAAGACCAAGAGAAGAATCTAGCGAGTTAGCAATATGCTCTCCGCTCCCTAGCCACCCCTCTCCGTCCACTCTCCCCGCCCAAAGCCCACCTGTGTCGTCCTCTCTCAAAGGATAGAATAGCATTTCTTCTGCTTTAGAGTCCAATTTGCCCAACCAAAATTGGAACATTTCCTCTCTATGAAGGATTCTTTGACAGTATTTTTGAAATCTGTTCTGTTTTTTCTCATGTGGATAATTGGGGTAATGGTGAGCTCGTCAAGGGGTGGTGTATTATGGGGCTATCCATTTTTCATGGTTTTAGTGAGATCCTAGAGAATCAGTTCCACGAGATACAAGCATTTGGATTTTACGGCTAATCGTCGTAAGTCACGCATGATTGGAATCACTGCGATTTGACATTCACCTACGAAAAATTTCTTCAAAAAAACCAGGCATGATGAAAAAAAACCAGTGCATGCTGGATAAGTCGAGTGTTGAACTTTTCTCTTTGTAAATATGTTTCACTATAGTGTTCTTTGGTGAGTTGCTCAATCAGGTCAACGTACCCGAAGCGGCGCATGTAAAAGATCTGGACCAAGAGTACAATCATCGAGCAAAACCCGTCAGGGAGGGCTATGGAATTTGGTAGCTGCAGGAGGGGGGAGGAGTCGTGTTTGGAGCTCGAGAGAAATTCTTTCAAATCTGATTTCCTTCTTCCGTTTCGCGCTACATACATTCCTTTAGACGGCTGCGCGGTAGAACAGACAAAATTTTGATAAAATCTGGAAAATTTAGGTATTTATAGGTGGTGGGGGATGCCGTTTGAACAGTCCGATCTCTCCCCACAACCTATGAATACCCATATTTTTCCAGATTTCGTTAAAATTTGCTTGTTCTCTCGCGCTGCCGTCTAAGGGGTTGTGAGCAGCGCAAAGCGGAAAATGAAACCATTCGAATGATATTGCTGTCTCATGGTGGGCATGTGACGTATGGTCCTTAGTATGGTCTACCGCTCACCCCCCCAGAGGGGGTGTTCGGTATGAACCCTTCCTACCTGCTCGAATCCAGTTTTACGTGCTTCCTTACCTCCTCTGAACCCACCGATAGAGGGCTAAGAGCTGAGGGGGGGGTGAAGGTACAGTACCTCACTGGCAGAACCTATATTCTCATCCATTATCCTCCCCCCCCCCCCCATTCGAACCCCCTCGGCGAGCCAAGTAGACGTCTCCATTCAACGTTCCTCAAGAGTGATGCAGCCTGTTCCCTTTTGGCTTTTACTTACACCGTAGTTCTTGAAATACCTATGTACATCGAGATCTAAAAATGATTCCAATTCGGAATCGGTACCAAAGGCAGGGAGGCAGGGCACAAGATCGCGTTGAGATCATTTTCTGAAAAATACGACCTCCCCTAATTCTGCCCTCAAATACGACCCCCTTCCTCATGCTACCTACCACTTTCCTAGATTTTCCCAACTTCCTACCACTTTCTCCATTTTTTCCGAAAAATTTCCAGTGTTTCAACCAAGAATTTCCCGTGGGGAGGATATATACCCAATGTGAAACAGGAAACTTCTCAGATATTCCCTAACCTCCTACCAGTTTTTCCGAAATTTCCTGGTTTGGTTTTTCTGGTTTTTCCCCAAAATTTTGCTATTGAGCGGGGGGTGGGAGAGGTCGTCAGGACTTAACTACATATCATTTTCAACTATCGGAAATAATAGTTGTATAGATCTTTGGCACTGCCGCCAACT